CAGGGGGTGTCTGTCTCCCCACCAGAGGACCTCCCCACCAGGGGTGTCTCCCCACCAGGGGTGTCTCCCCACCAGGGTCTCCTCACCAGGGGGTGTCTCCCCACCAGGGGGTGTCTCCCCACCAGGGGTGTCTCCTCACCAGGGGGTGTCTCCCCACCAGGGGGTGTCTCCCCACCAGGGGGTGTCTCCTGAGAGACTCGGTGCTGGAGGAAAAGATAGCGGTTTGATCAATGAAAGTGAGAGCTCATGGTCCAGGCCATTAGGTTGTCTGGCTGGGACCCTGAGAGATGGTGAATTGTTCAGTGGTTTCTAATAACTACCCACGTGATGAAAGTGAAGCTTTGCAATCGAACAGCTTCTCCCAGGATCTGTGGTCCAGGTTGGTGCTTGGACCTGTGCCAGGTGTTTGAGGGAACAGGGGCGATGCCAGAGGCTCCGCAGGGTGGTGGCCGGCCCACTCCCCCGCGGGAGCAGCAGGCACAGGGCAGCACATGCTCACTGGCTTCTGGGGACATCGCGTCCTCCCCTGCAGCATGTGCTGACTCAGTCCACACTGTGGGGACACTTTCATCCAGGGTGTGTTTGGAAAGAAAATGCAAAGTATGAGCACTTCCCAGGCAGCAACTGCTGAGCTGGCTGACGGTGCCCATAATGGATCCTTTTCTATTTGGGGGTAGCCACCTCCTTCCCAGGTGGGTGCTGTTCCTTCAAGTGCTGGGGTCTCCCTGGGTGAGGTGATAGCATCTCCTTGCGTATCATCCTCCTCGTTCCTCGGTTTTGAAATAAAATTGCTGGATGTGGGAGTGGTCAGGATGCCCCTGAGCTAGTCCTGCACAGGCCCAGGCGCACCCTTTCATCTCCAGCAGCTGGGAGGTAACAAGCAGTGCACAGATCTGAGCATTGCTCCCCAAGCACAAAAACCTAGTGATCAGCCACTCAAAACAACTGCAGTGTGGGGCGGTGCTTTGTGAAAACGGGAGAAGCAGCATTTTTTTGGCCTCTCAGCTCTGTGGCCTTGGCTGAGGCCTCCTGAGGCTGAGTCAGCAGCGGCACCAGCTCAGGTGAGGGGCCGCCAGCGCCTGGCCTGGAGCCCATTTCCAGAAACCTGGTCAGACTAGGCACAGCCCCGGGTGTCCCAGAGCAGCAGGGGATGAAAGGGATTGGCATGGACAACTCAGTGAATTCTTACAAAATCAAGTTTTGTGACTGCGCTACGGTGTGTCTATCCAGTACACGGCTGATGGACGCTGAGGCAGTTTCTAGTTTGGGCCCATGATGTACGGGCTGTTATGAATATTCTGTGTTTTGGTGAACATCTCTACACTTTCCTTGGGCCATACCCCAGGAGTGAAGGCCTGGCCTGCAGACTATGCATATGCTCTGGGCTGGGGCGGTGAAGTGGGGGGCTGCAGACAGTTCCCTCGAAGGTTTGCTTAAGCGCACTCCCAGCAAGGAGGTTGGAGAGAGAGAGTTCCAGTTGTTTGAAATCTTTATCAACATTTGGTATTTTCTTTCTTTTCACCATTCTGATAGGTGTGTCCTGTACCTCATTCTGGCTTTAACTGTATTTTGCTGGTGGCTAATGAAGTTGAACACTTTAAAAAATATTTACTGGCCATTAAACATTCTTTTTTAACTACCCGGTCAACCTTTTGTTCGTATAGTCTTCTTCGAGTTTGTCTTGACTTGCAGGAGCTTTGAGTACATTCTAGGTAAAAACACCTTTTCTGATAGATCTATTGCAAATCACTTCCTCGCTCTGTGGATGGCCTCTCCTGTCTTAGTGGTGTCTTCGGAAGAAAGATCTTGACTTATCAATATTGTTTATTTATAGTTAGCATATTTCTGTTCTGTTTAATAAACCTTTGCCTACTCTAACGTCATGAAGATTCCTTCTATGTGTTTTTAAAGTCTTCCTTGTTTTACCTCTCACATGTAGATCAGCGGTCCACCTGCTATTGACTTATGTGTAGGGTGTAAGGTGGTAGTTCAAGGTCCATATTAATTTTTCTATTTGTCTGTCAAAATGATTCATTTACAGAAACGAATACCCTTCTCTGACCTCACTTTAGTATCGTGCTTAGCATAATTCAGGTATCTGTGCAGTAGGAGTCTCTGGACTATTCGTTCTCTTGTATTATTCAGTTCATCTACCCAGACTAATACTGTACTGTCCTAAGTACTATAGCATTAAAATAAGACTTGATATCAGTGGGTAAGTCCTCCTGCTTTATTTTCATCCAGATTGCCATAGATACCCTTTGTATTTTATATTTCCATATGAAATATTTCCATATGAATTTTAGAATCATCTGTCAATTCCTATAAAAATACCTAAAGTGATTCCCACTGCCTTTGGCCCTGCACCTTGTCATGAGGTCTCTGATCCGGTTTGTAATCAGGTCTCTGATCTTCCCATGTGATGTGTCATATTTCCCTGGGTCATTTCCAGATCTTCTCTGTATCAGTGACTCTGATGTGCCTAGGTGTGGCTTTCCTTGTGTTTATTCTGTCTTGAGTTGTTGAACTTGTTGAATCAGTAAATTAATATTTTTCACTCTATTTGAGAAGCTGTTCACCATTATTTCTCCGAATAGTTTTCTATCCCTTTCCTCCTCCTCCCGGAGGTTTTAATTACATGTATGTTGGCAACTTGAAATTATCTGAAGTCTCTGAGGCTTTGTTCATTTTCCTATAATTTTTTTCCTCTATGTTCTTCCAATTGTGTAATTTCTGTTAACCTATTTTAAAATCCACCGATTCATTCTTATCCCGCCACTAATCTGCTCTAGAGGCCACCTGAAAAGATTGAAAATTTCTGCTATTGTTCTTTTCATCCATGTTTAAACTTGTCATAACTTCTGCTTTCCATATCTTTATTCATCAATAACTTAAAAATCATTTGAAGATATTTTTCTTTATTTCTTTGAACCTATTTACATAGTTGCTTAGATTTCTTGTTATATTACATCTCTAGAACTACTCTTGAAGAATATATTTGCAGAGTGTAAGATTTTAGTTTTGCAATTATTATCTTTTAACACTTTAAATATATGACTCTGTTGCCTTGTATTTTTCACACTTCCTAACGCAGCTGTAAGTTTTCTTTTGAAGGTCATATGTCTTTTTTGCTCTGGCTGCTTTTATGTTTTTGTTCTTCTTTTTGGTTCTTGGTGGGTCTAATTGTAGTTGTCTTTGGTTTATTCTTTCAAATTTTTTTTTATCATCTCCCCTTTCCTCCCCTCCTTCACCACTGCCTACCAGGAGGGCTTCTGGCCAGAGGAACCCAAATTCCTGCAAAGGTTCTACTTTGAAGTATTTTAGTAACAAACTAGTCCATTAGTGCAAATATTATTTTCCCATTAACTTGGGGCTTGCGAAGTTCCATGAATGCTGCTTCTCACTTGCTTTCTCTCTTCTAAGATTAATTACTCATATGTTAGACTTTTGGAGTATGTCTCGCATGTCTCCATGCTCTCCAGTATTCTTTTTTTTTTTTTTTTTTTTTACCTAGGCATTAATTTAGATATTTTTTGTTAAATTATCTCCCAATTAGCCAATACTATGCTCTGTGGTGCTTAATCAGTTGTTAGTTCACCAACTGACTTTTTATTTCAATTATCATAGTTTTTAGTTTTACCATCTATTGATTATTTTTCATAGAGTCTCCTTCTTTGTAGGTATTCTTCATCCTTTCAGCTACACATTAGCTCACCCTTTCACAGTCCTCATCTGCTCGTCACAATTTCTCATAACGTTTGGCTTGTTGCAATGTCTGCGCTTTTCCTCTTGGTTATCAGCCATGTTTTCCTGCCTCTTCAGTATGTTTTTAGTTTTGTCAGACGCTGTGCACAGAGCTCCAGACGTGCCCAGATGTGTCACTGCTTATCAGCGAGCTCTTTCTCCCGTTCAGCAGGTGAAATGAGGTGCTGGTGGCATCACTTCAAACAGGATTCGCGCTTTTGGAAAGACACACGACGCGGGCCCACCGCTTTGTCATGGCTGAGGCTTTTCTGGGCTTTTCCTGGAGAGGTTTGGGGGTGGCTTCCTTAGTCCTGGAAACTGAGCGACCCAGACGTGCTCTCAGGAGCTCGGCCCTGCTGTCCAGGGCTCCGTCCAGACAGGCGTGCGGCCGGCAAACGTCCTGGGGAGAGCGGGCCTGTGCGCCAGGCAGGCCCTCCCGCCGCAGGTTCGCTGTGTAGCTGCTTCAGGCTCCGGGAGACCCGCTCCGTACAGGTGGGCAGGAGGCCTCCATGTGAGCACACGTGCACAGAGCTCACTCTCGTGTTATCACTTATCCCTGATTGTACCACTTTCCCCGTGAACAACTGCGGTCCTGCTTCTGCCCCGCCCTGCATTCGCCAGGCCTCCCGCCCTGGAGGCTGCCTGCCCCGCGCCGGCCTCGCCCTGCGCCCGCATGGCGCTCACAGTCAGGGCGCTGCTCCGGGCTGCGGAGCTGGGCTGCTTTCTCTGCCCACGAGGGTCTCTGCCCGGCCAGGTCAGCCCTTAGCTTACAGCAGGGTTGGAAAATGTCTTCAGAGAATAGCAGGCCGTATTCGAATGGCTCTCTTCGCTGAAAAGTCTTTCCTACTCCTCCTCGCTGTCACAGCTCTGGCTGCATTTATAACTGTTGCATCAGATCCGATGCGGCTTTCATTCAGGTGTGGCCTCCTCCAGCAGAAGCTCCCGACAAGCTAATCTCCACTTTCATTTCCCAGCTGATTATATGAACCCATGTTTCTCGGTTTTCCTTATGCAAACTTTTTGTTGGTCTCCCTTATTCATTTCCTCATTAGTGAGTTAAATGGCTTCTGGCCTGTGCCGACAGTTACATGACGATTCTGTTTTGCAGACACATGTGAACCAGAGCGCAGAGCAGCATTTGGCAGGCTGCGCCCCTCCAGCGCTTCTGCTCCAGAGAGCTGGCTTCACTGCATAGCAGGCTGGATGGAGAGCAGGCGACCCTGAGGCAACGGAGGGGCTGGGTCCAGAGCCGGGGCTTTTGACTCTCGGTTCCAAGATTGCGACTTTTTTGCAGGCAAGGAGGAAAGTATCTTGTTGATAGGAGTTTCCTCAGGATCATGTGAAATGTTGCTATTGTGGGATTTTAGTTCCTGCGGCCAAACTTCCCAAGGTGGTTAAGGGTGGTGAAGGAGGGGAGAAGCAAGTAGATCAAATGAGAAAAAGAAAAAGAGCAGTCATTTTAAGGGACAGAAAAGAAAATGCTACCGATCTTACTCATTGAGAAAGCTCGCCAAGCCTTGTAACACCCTGTGAAAAAATAAACACAGCCGAACAAAACAAACCAAGGCGCTTGTGGGGTCATGCTGGCTGTGTGCCCAGAGCATTGCTCAAGCCGCTCCGGTTTGCCCTGTTACCAAACAAGCTGACTTCGTCCTGCCAGAGTTTGGAAAGCTCCTTGCTATTGGACAGTGCATCTAGAAAATAACTGCATGCAGACCACAGTCAGAGGTAGGAATATGTGACCTGGGTAGACGAATGCAGGTCGCATGTACGTATGTGAGGAGATGCTGCATTTGTACTGAAAATGATGAGCAGGACATGATATTTACACTTGTTGATCAAACACACACACACACACACACACACACACACACACACACACACACCAGCTATTAAGGCCCAGCAAAGCAGAAATGTAGAAAGACATTTTCTAGGAGAAATATTTTACTTTTCAAAGTGATAGCGGTCAGTTCTCTCTCTCTCTCTCTCTCTCTCTCTCTCTCTCTCTCTCTCTCTCACACACACACACACACAGAACAAAAAGCAGACTTTCCCAAGCATTTAAGCTTTACCCTTTACCTCCTCTCCCTCCAGCAGAACCTTTTCTTATTGCTATATCATGAACTGCTCGGTGTTAAGATTTGTTATAAAGCTACAATAATCAATGCAGTGTGTCACAGGTATAAAGATGGACAAGTGGATCAATAAAAGACATAGAGAACCCCCAAACAGAGGTATACACATATGGATAATGGGTTTCTGACAACTTCAAAAAGCAATTGCCCAGCCAGTGTGGCTCAGTGGTTGAGCATCGACCCATGAACCAAGAGGTCCCCAGTTCAATTCCCGGTCAGGGCTGGATCCCCAGTGGGGGGCATGCAAGAGGCAGCAGATCGATGTCTCTCTCTCATCATTGATGTTCCTCTCGCTCTCTCCCTCTCTCCTTAAAATAAATCAATAACAACTTCTTTTAAAAAAGGCAATGGAGATAGCATGGTATTTACAACAAATGGTCCTGAAATCTTTGGACATCCACATGCAAAATGAAAGCACACACACAAAAAACCTTTGATACATATTTCACACCAAAAATGGTCTCAAAATGGATTGTAGAACTAATGCAAAACCTAAAATGATAAAACTTCTGGAAGAAAACATAAGAGATCTTGGGTTAGGCAAAGATATATATGACAAGAGCAAAGTCCATAAAAGAAAATTTTAATAAATTCGGCTTTATCAGAAGACATTTGTAATTCTTATACCTAATAAAGTTATATCCAGAATATGTAAATAACTCTTAAGATGCAATAATAAGAAAACAAACAATCCAATTAAACATGGGCAAGTAACTTAAGTGTTTCATCAATGAAGACAAATGGATAGGAAATAAGCACATGAAAAGATGATCAATATCTTTAGTCCTTAGGGAAATGACCGTTAAAATGACTAAAATTTTAAAAAGTCTAACCAAACCCACTATGGGTAAGAATGTGGAGCAGTGGAGAATGGAACTCAACTACTGCTGGGACAGGAGGAACAATTTGTTTTTTTCTCCAAAAGTTCAAAATATACCTACTGTATGATTCAGACATTTCACTCCAAGTATTTACCCACGAGAAATGAAAGCCTACAAAGATTTGTACACATGCTCATAGCAGTGTTACTTGTAATAGCCCCACACTGGAAACCACCCAGTGTCCATCGCCAATGGAGTGGATAGACAGGGGAATATCCATACATGAATATTCACACTAAAAATGAACCAACTGCTGATACATACTATAATACAGATGAATCTTAAAATAATTCGGAGTGAAAAAAGAGAGGGTATACTATATGGCTTCATTCACAGAAAATTCGAGAAATTACAAACTAATCAGTAGTAACAGAAAGGCAGGTCAGCCGTGGCCTGGGGAGGGGCAGCGGGGGTGGATTACAAAGGGACATGAGAACATGTTAGGGATGATGGATATATTCATTATCTTGATGGTGGTGATTGTCACAGATTTACACGTATGTCAAAACCGTCACAAAATTTTCGCTTTGCAGCTGTTTCCCAAGAGCTTAACCGTTTAGCTCCTCCCCGGTGTTCCTTTTTCTTGCCACGTCATGACCCACGTGTTTCCTCTGAGCGTCACAGACATACAGCCCTTTCCTGGCAGAAGTGGTGGTGCCATTTTTTGGTAGTAATCCTGGGGGAAACACCCGACCCAATTTGTGTTGTGGTAAAAAGAGATGTTTGGGGTGATGATGAAGAATGCAGAAAGGGAAGCCAAACTATCTATTAGAAATAAAAATGGATTTTTTCCACTACTTCCGTGAGACTTTGCGGTGGAGTGGAGCGCTCCTGCTCTGACGGCGGCGCGTCTTGAGGGGAGGCGAGCCCGCGGAACCGCAGCGATGACTGATGACTGATGACGGAGGCTGACGTAAATCCGAAGGCCTACCCTCTCGCAGGCCACCTCACCAAAAACTATTGGACCTCGTTCAGCAGTCATGTAACTACAAGCAGCTTCGAAAAGGAGCCAATGAGGCCACCGAAACCCTTAACAGAGGCATCTCTGAGTTCATTGTGGTGGCTGCAGACGCAGAGCCCTGGAGGTCATCCTGCACCCCTCGCTGCTGTGTGAGGACAAGAATGTGCCCCGCGTGTTTGTGCGCTCCGAGCAGGCGCTGGGGCGGGCCTGCGGGGTCTCCGGGCCTGTCACCGCCTGTTCTGTCGCCATCAAAGAAGGCTCCCAGCTGAAGCAGCAGATCCAGTCCATTCGGCAGTCCATTGAAAGGGTCTTAGTCTAAACCGGTGGCCTCTGCCACGCTCTCTCTTGCCTCCTCCCCCTCGGTTGTGTATCGTATTGTCCGTGTTACCATGCAGGATTTCCAGCTACCTTCTATTGTTATAAAATGGTGTGGTTGGTGTGTTGCTGTCCGAGAGCCAGAGGCAGTCCGCTGCGGCCACCGCTCCTCCAGCCGCCCGACAATGTCGTCTCATTTAGTAGAGCAGCCACCGCCCCTGCACAACAACAACAACAACTGCGAGGAAGGGGAGTCGCCTGTGCCCCGCCAGCTGGCCTCAACAGTTCCTGGGTGGAGTGACCCATGAACAGCAGCAATGGTAATGATAATGGCAATGGGAAAAATGGGGGACTGGAGCACGTCCCTTCCTCATCCTCTACCCACAATGGAGACATGGAGAAGATTCTTAGATGCACAACGTGAATCAGGACAGAGTAGTTCAAGTGGTAGTTCTCACTGTAACAGCCCTTCCCCACAAGAAGATGGGCAAATTATGTTTGATGTGGAAATGCACACCAGCAGGGACCATAGCCCTCAGTCAGAAGAAGAAGTTGTAGAAGGAGAGAGAGAAGTTGGTGCTTTGAAGAAAAGTGTAGACTGGGTGTCCGACTGGTCCAGTAGGCCTGAAAACATTCCCCCATAAGAGTTCCACTTCAGGCACCCTAAACGTTCTGTTTCTTTAAGCACGAGGAAAAGTGGAGCCATGAAGAAGGGGGGCATTGTCTCTGCGGAATTTCTTAAGGTGTTCATTCCATCTCTCTTCCTTTCTCATGTTTTGGCTTTGGGGCTAGGCATCTATATTGGAAAGCAACTGAGCACATCTTCTGCCAGCACCTATTGAAGGCCAGGAGCCCCGGGAACGCGTGCGCCCTGTGAAGAGGTGTATTGTCACAGCAGTTTATTTGAACTTGAGACCCTTGTAAGCATGACCCAACCTACAGGCCTATTTTTACATATTCAAGCTCCAGTAACTCTCAAATCCAGTATTTTATTCAAACTCTGTTGAGGCATTTTACTAACCTCATTCTCTTTGGGCCTGTAAGACTTTAGAATTTCCTAACAGAGTTTACTGTTGTTTAGAAATTTGCAAGGGCTTCTTTTCCGCAAATGCCACCAGCAGATAATAATTTTGTCAATAATGCTATTGTCTCCTTTTAGTGCCACCAGACTTAGACCAGAATCACTCACGGTATAAATTTTACTCTCTCAAGATGACTACCATCTCGCTCATAAAACGAGATAAGACTAGCAAATGACGTAAAAGCTTTGTTGTTTTGTTTTTCAAGAAAAAGGCAAGCTTCCTTAAGCTTTAATTTATAAGTTATTAAAAAAGGAAACAAGAAAAAAAAACAACACGCAAGACACAAGAAAAAAATACCTTGGGCAATAAAAATTTCTTTTAAACCAGCTTTGTCTAAACCTCCTAATGGCACCTTTTAATTTGTAGGATACGGTCTATGGGTGTGAAATAGAATAAGAACTAAAATACATCAGCAGATTTTAATACTAGTAGGTTGTAATGCTGTCTTTTCTATGGTGTAGAATCTTTATTTCTGATAAGGAACATCTTAGGCCTAGAAATATGAAATTGCTTTTGGGATTTGTGTGTGTTTTGGTATTTTTGTGTTTATTAGCTGCATTTGAATTTTTCATGACTTTCTTTAAATTTAAAAAAAAATTTTTTTTCTAAGAAGAGGCTTTGGAATGAGGTCCAGTTTGCAGTATAAATATCAGCATATTGTTTCAGGAAGATCACGCACACTCGGAAGCCTTTAAACTCCACAGGTAATTGTTTCCGAGTTATTCCAAGCACTTGTGCAGCTTTGAAAACAGACTTGGTTTGTGGGAACATTTGACACAGTTCTGAAAAGATGCCATTTGTTTTTTCCTGACCTCTCCTTTTTAATGTTTACTGTATAATCTTCCCACGTGACTCCTGTGATCCTGCAGGCACTGGTCATTCTCTCTTGTAGCCATCTTTTCAGATACATTAAACTCCTCACGTTCCAGAACTCTCAACAACTTCCTTCAATGACATACTTTTTGTGTGTGTTTGTTTCTAAAATGTGAAGCTTTAGGACCAAATTGTTAGAAAGCATCAGGATTACCAATTATTTCAAGTAGATTTATTGGGTTTCAAAACACATAGCATGACTCTGAAGGATACTATTACATGTTTTATATATAAATAATTACTGTTTATGATATAGACATTACTATTGAATATTTAGAGACCATTGTTAATTTTAAAACTAGCAAAATACTCAT